CGTCGCTTTGAAAGATTTTCAAGGAAATAAGATTGGCTGTTTCAAGTTGTAGACCTGCATTAAAAAAGTCAGCCTGTAACAAAAAATCTTTACATTTTGATATGCATGTAGTTTCAAATTAAAGGTATAAATCACCAGAGAGATTATGCGTACTTAGAAGCTAAAAGCCTACTGTTCAATTCAAAAGACTATAGCAAATTTCATAACTATAAATGTCAAAATACAGCCAGTAAATATTGGCATTGTGATGTGACCATAGGCTTCATCGCAAATGTTTGGTGATTTCTTTTTGCGTGCACAAGATTTGTAGCTCATAATGATCAGGACATAATATCAGTGACATTTTTTGAGGTGCATTTTTTGTGAATACTAACTTTTAGGTTCTTAATAGATAAAGATTTTTAATTTCTGCAAAGTGAAGTTTTTATAGTTTTTTAATCTGGTTTTTTAAATATATTTGAATTAGGTATTTGATTCTCAATTTGCTTTCAATTCTATTTGAACTTTCTTGTATCATGTTCTAGTATATATTCACACTAATGTTATTGGCTTTAATATCATAGAAAATGCTTAAACGCTTGCATACTTTGTTATGAGTGTTACTTCAGAAATACTACTTCAGAAGGAAGGGTGTGGGTATGTTTATATCATTGGCAAAATATGGGCGTTTCCCTTTTGAAAAAGGGCGTAGTTAGAAAGTTGATTACCTACTTATTTTCACTCCGAGCCGCCCCTGGTTTCAACAGAACAAGGGTTTCAGCAATAGAAGGGTTTCAACATTGCAAGTGTATTGGCAATTGAAGGGTTTCAAGAGTAGGTGAATTTCAACGTAAGAAGGGATGAGAAAGAGGCGGGTGTCGATTGTTGTGTCACTGCTTTCATTACTTGTTGGGGAGACGAGCGAGCTCTTCAAATGAAAATTTTCAAATGAGTGAAGCGCCCCCCCGTCCTGGAGTCAAAGAGCATGCGTAATAGTAACATGCTCTTTGACTCCAGGACGGAGGGTCACCTGACTCATTTAAAACTTTCTCTTGCTCGTCTCCCCAACAATTACACGGACAACACAGGCTTACAAATGTTCGTCTTCTTACCAATAATCTAAGGAATCACTTTCTTCAAAGGGACAATTCCGATCGACCGTCTCCTGCAAGACTTGTGGTAAAAACAGTGTGACGTTCGATGTGTTTAGCTGCTTGCCTTTGCAACTCACTTCAAAGAGTGCGTGCTCACTTGATGTAAGTATTGGTGGAAACCTTTCTTCATCGCATCATGTTGCCGTTGTTACTTTTGTAACATCTGTTCTATTTGTTACTTGAAATCCATGTGTTCTTGTGTGGTTTCTCTTATTTGTTTACCCTGTGTCGCTTGTGTTACATTTGTTATATGTGTTACACTATTACGCTACTAGCCCTTGAGTTAATACTAGAGATTGTCATTTTTCCGCTCTGATTTCTCTGATCCGAGACGTATTTGTTTGTTTTACGACGGACGTTCGTGTGAAAACGTTTTGATCTATATTACATTCCAGGAACCGCGCAGCCATTGGGCTAGCAGGGGCTATAGCCCACCCACTTTTTTGCAATAATAGGCTAGAAATTTTTGGGAAGTTTTACTCTAACGCAACTTTGGATAGTTTACTCCTATGTAGTTGCAGTTTTTCTTGACTGGATACCA